TGGTGAGGCATCGCTAAGGCTATTGCGGCAAAATAGTGGTAAAAAGCGCAAAGTCAAATAACGATCTAATTTAGATATGTATAAATACTAAAAAAATAAGAAAAACTATAGAAAAATTTAGAAAATCTAAAAGTGCATTTGATAATTTAAAGAAATCCTAAATATGAAATAAACATGTAACCGTCACATAATACCGAAGACAACTGGAGGAGTCAAAGAGTCGTCATCTTCTAGAAGATAAGCTAAGGGGTGAGAGGACTGCACTAGGAGCTCACGGCGAGAGAAGGTGAGAGGAAGTACTAAAGGCAGTGACAAATGCTATGGGAGGCGGTCGGAGTACGCCGAAAAGCTGGGGAGGCAGTGAGATGTAGTTGTTGCAGCCTTGCAGGTCAGATTTAAATTTAAAAAAATAAATCTCAAACCGCTTTCAAATAGAGATCAAAAAACGGATTTTGCCCGCAATCGCCCGCTATTCCCTGCTGTGGTGCACTATTGGCCGCTTTTGCAAGTGAAAAACGCATATTCCACAATATGTGACCGCTATTGGTCGATAGTGTAGCGGGAAGGGACCGCTAACACTATTAGCGCCGCTATTGCGGGGCCATTTACCACTATTTATAACAGAGGGTATTCTACATATAGAAAAAAAACAAATCTAAAATAAGATCAAGATAAACACACTCTATTCGAAGTTGCAGTCTCTAGAATCAAGGACTGACAATTTTTAGGTGTTGCGATTTATCTCTCACGAGATTCCGAGCATTTCTTTTGAAATCCCCCAGATAAGCAGCCAACTATCCTAAAGTTTCCTAAGGGTTCAAAATTTTATGACTTCAAATCAAAGAAGTACACAGTATTGATCTTAAAGATAGGATTGCCGCATCTTAGGCATTAGTAAAAACAACTCTAGCTCATTATTCTACAACAGCCATAGACAGAAAGTAATTAAGCTAACCTGCAAAGCTAATCGAAAGGTTAATCTCTCATCTGACCTAAATCCCATGGCTCCCATTCCATGGTAATGAATATCACTAAATTCAGGACGCTGTGGCACAGCATGCGGCTTCGCACGAAATGGCACCAGGGGTCGGGGTGGACAGACAGGATCACTGATATCATCAAGAATACATATGTCAGTATCATCCTCCACAATTATGGTGCTCTTTGAGGGATTCTTTTGCACTGAACTAAAACTATCTTTGAGAACATCGTCCTGCATATGAGGTTGAAGTAAGTGATCTCCCTGTTCGTTCTTAAAGGTTGATTTTGGTCTACTTTGCCAAGTTGTAGCAGAATCAGACACCAAATTCTTTGATGCATTACTCACACCTCTATCAACAGAATAAAAGGTTAAGTTTTTGTTAGAGGGTATTGGCGAAGAATCTGTACTAGATTCACTCATTAAACTCGTATCATCAGAATGGTACTCAGGGCAGAAATCATCTGATAAAGGTGCATCCAAATCTGAGATAGAGACATCTTGCAAGGAGCTATCAGGGGATTCTTCTTTCCTGTTCAGTTTTTCCTCAAATGTCCCATGAGAATGAGGTGGAAGCAGATGATTCTCCCTTATGTTTAGCTTGTCGCTATTATCATGTTGATACTGAACTGTAACCGTTTGAGATAAGCCAATTTCAGGATCAGACACAGAGTCTCTGGGTAATGTTAGACAGCTATTGCTACCATCACAGGTGGCATTGCTTGCTTCAAAAATGTCTGCCTCCGGCTGAACTGAATCTGGCACCGCTGTATCAGAATTCCTATATGAGCGAACTGACGATGAGTACATATTTCCATCCTCTACTCTTGAGTCCGGAAAAGCGCTGGAACTGTTTTGTATTTCACCATTGAAATTGTAGTTCTCCATAGACAAAAAATGTGACGAACCTGCAATATGAAACACCTATTTATTAGTGTGAAAGAATGGGTTTTAACCATTTGACTAATACAAATATAAACATGCTATAAGTACCTTGTTCTCCATTTTGCAGCTGACTAATAGAGGAAATAAGGTTTTCATTCAGCTTAGAGTCTCCATACTCTGTGGGGGATGAAATTCCATGATCATAATGCCCATTTACTTTGTCCTCACTAGTGAAATAAAATCCATTACCAGCAGCAACTGGAAAGGAAACATAACCTTCTCCTCTTAAACCTTCACCTTGGACACTACGTTCCTGCATATTTGTTTGCAGTTGTCTCTGATCAGAGTTAAAAGTCAAAGAGCTCCCTGAAGAACCTCCAAATGCAGTCCTTGGATAATCACTGTATGGAGATAATGACCTTAACACATATGATGAGTTCTGTTGAGGTACAGGAAAAAAACTATTTTGGTCAAAACGTGACAAAGCATGAAGGCCTCCTTTAACATTAACGCCGTTTAGATCTCGTTCAGATTCATTATGGATATCAAACCCCATGCTTCTTTGAGAGCCCGCGTCCTCCAAACTCCATTGAAAGTAATCTCTTTCTCTGAATTCTGTCAGACCTGTTGTTGATTCTGAATGGAAAGGTCAACATTAAAAAGGAAGACAAATGAATACCACATATAGCCAAATTTAATTGAAAGGTTTAACTAAGATATTAAGGTTAAGGCTGCCAGCACTGACAACAAAGAAAGTGATACTAGGAACCAATATTTACCTGCTTGAGATTTCTGTTCATGGTCAAACTGACTGGGAGCTAACTCACCATGTTGGAAACCTTCAGCTGTCACCTGTCATTATAATTTCACATAATTCAGCATCAAGAAAGGTATAACTGATTATGCAGGAACACAGAGTCCAAGCTTCAATATAATCTTTCAAAGACATCTAGTGGTTTGAGCCTAAATCATCCAAGTATTCAGACAGTTCACTACATGAACAAATCTAATTCTCAAGTAAATTGACAGATCAGTTCATATGGATATCAATATTCATGAATTGGTTAATAGCACATTCCAAAATTTCGCACATACAGAAAACATGTTAGCACAATCACTTATTTGCATAATCATATACACATGAACATGAAGGCACGCATTCAAACATGAGCGCGCACACATATGAATCTACTTTTATGAAAACACATTTACAAAAGAACACATTCCAAGGCTTTTCATAGACATGTAATATACATGTATACTCACAAAAATACACACACATATCTACTTCTTTGAGAACTGATTTACAAATACACATTCGAAAGCTTTTCGTAGACATGGAGCATACCCGTTTACTCACAAAGCACACATCCACCAACATACATGCACATACATTGACATGTATATGTGCATACTCAGACATGTTCCTGCACCATACATATACAGCTCAGACGTGCATACTCAGGCATCAGTGGAATTGATTTCACCGGTCAATCAGGCAGGAACAAAGGTTAATGGGCATGATAGGCCTTTAACAAAGTCACTGGTTATGAAAAGCAGAAAGCGGAAAGCGGAGCAAAGCGGTGAGGCGCCCTTTAGGTTTTTTGGGGCTTAAGCAGATCAAAGTGGGAAAAAACTCCAAGTAAAAAAATGATTCAGTTTTAGTATGAATAAATATTCAAAAAAATCAAGAAAAAAATTAAAAAATCTATAAATGCAAATTTGATTATTTTTAGAGATCCTATGCATGTAGACGTGTAACAATCAGACAATGTTGACAAAGTAATGGTGTTTTGTCGAGGCTTTGAAGGAGGAGAGGGAGCAATGGACTAAGCTTCGATGAAGAGCTTGCGGGACATAGTGAGAGGAGCTGAAGAGATGCGGTCAAAAATGGTAAGAGGTAGTGGAAGTGTTGGAGGCGGTGGGAGAAGGTGGCGGAGGCAGTGGAGAAGGCAGAGGATGATTTGGGTCTTAGTGTTTTTTTGAGTTCATAAAAGACAAAGAGAAAGAGCAATAGTGGGATACGAGGAGTTTTCGGTGTTTTGAAGCTCTTTTCTCAGTTTTTCATCGTTTGTTGCTGCTTTTTTCAACAGTGGCCTCTAATGCAAACTGGTCCTCATGCTACAGGTAAAACAGAAACTAGTAATCAATCCACTCAACCCTACCCTACGAGAAATACCAAAAAGGTTTAAAGATAAGTAAATGGTGATTAACATAAGGTTCTCAACATTCTATGCTTAATAGGATAAACATATCCATTCCAAGAAGCATGCACAAATATTTGTCTGTAAAAAGTAAACCCTCAAACTTCTTGAAAGGAACTCCTATGATCTTTCATCCAAAGTTCACAATATTCAATGATCCATACATTGATTGGATAACCTTTAAGAAGGAAGATTTTAGGCATTGTTTTGTAACAGGACATTCATGACAGGCTGTAAAGATACAACAGCATGAGTAGACAAGCACATCATTAATATGCCATAAACATCCTATCAGTTGAGAGGGTCAGTGGATGAAAGAGCAATAAATCAATTTAGTATCCTGCAAAATAAATTTTGAATGTTTAACCAAATATAGATGTGTATGCCATTTCATCCATTGTTTTGAACATTTTTTCACAGAACTTGTGGTGGTTTATCAAGGGTTTCAAACATCAAGATATTCTAATTCTAATAAGCTAAAAAAATATATAGTTAAGTTATTCATTGCTCTTAGGCCTTTTGTCAATCAAGGCATGGAGGACCATGGACCACTAACTTTCAATTCAAGGAAACCTCAGAACAATTGTCCAAGCTTTCATGACTGATTGTTGATCTGACATCAATAGATTGTGGAATTGTCTAACGTTTCCCAGTTTTTTTAAAAAAAAAACTACCTTTTTTATCATGCAGTTTAACGTCATTCAACCAAGGAGCAGTCT